TTCCGGTTGCTTCAGATGCGTCGCCAGTTGACTCGCACTATAGGACAAGTCGGGTCGGCAGGTTACTGCTGCGAACAGTAGGCAGCCGAGCTTCTGTTGATATTCCTGGATTTGCTTCGGGGGGAGTTTTGCGGAGGTGCTGTTGTTGTTCCCGTAGCGGTAGGGAGTTGGGACCGTAGTTGGTGTTAGACCGAATTTCTTCGCGACGGTGCCTGAGTAATTCCCAGCGTATAGGTAGAACGCCGTGTCGTCTTCGACGACATTCAGTCCTAGGTACTGGGTCACTTCGTCGGACACCGTGAGTGTTAAGTCTTCTTTCAGCTCCCCTTCGAACCAGGTAGCGATGTCGGTAGTGGAGCCGATGTAGAGCAGGTCGTCGACGTAGACGATGAGTAGGACATACTCTCTTCCCTTCTGCAGTCGGTACATCCCTTGGTCATGCGGTAGTTGTAGGAATCCGATTTTTGCGAGACGGCCGTGAAGGTGCTGCTGCCAGAGCCGCGGGGCTTGCTTGATCCCGTATAGGGATTTTGTCAGTCGGCATACTTTCGTGGGGTCGTCGATGAATCCGTGGGGTTGTTCGACGAAAATCTCAGCGTCCACAGGTGCGTATAGGAACGCATTCGTGACGTCGATTTGGCGTAGTGGTAGTGTCTTTGTGGCCGCGACGGCGAGTAGGATGCGTAATGAGGTGTGACGGGAGACTGGAGCGAAGGTTTCTGTGTAGTCAGTTCCGTATCGTTGATCGAAGCCTCGTACGACCCATCGAGCTTTGAATCATTCGATGGAGCCGTCTGAGTTGGTCTTGATGCGGTACACCCATTTCCCCGAGAGGACGTTCTTCCCGTTGATGCTTGTTGCAGGTACCAGTTTCCATGTTTCTCGGTCTTGCAGAGCCTTTAACTCCTTTTCCATCGCTTCTTTCCATTTTGCCTTATGTTCCCCCCCCAGAGCCTGCGACAAGGTCGAAGGCTCACGCGGAGAAGGCGGCGGCGGATGCTGGACGGAGACCCAGAGGCCTAGAATCTGCAGTCCCGTGGGTGTGTGTCGAGGGGAATTTTCATTCCCGGAATAAGCTGCTTCGTCACTGTCTTCTGGGTCAGGTAAGAAGTTGGGACCGATGCGTTCTGAAACATTTGTGTCGACTGGGTGGGGTGTAATGTAACCTTGGTCAGCGAAGTGGTAAAAGGTGTCGAGGTTGTTGCTATCGAGAGGATTGTCTTCGTCGAGTGGAACAGGTACGGAACAGAATGGGAGTGGTCCGGCAGCTTCCGAGGCTTCAGGTACGTCTTCTTCTGCTGCGTCAGCTTCGGCAGCACGGTCGGTGAAGGAACGAAGTCCCAAGAAGCCGTCGGTGGGGTCTTGTGTGTTGGCAATGTTGTCCAGGTAATGCTGCAGCGTCAGTCGCTCGTAGAAAATAACATCACGTGATGCCACGGTATTTTTGTCTTGTATGTCGAGAATTTTCCACGCGTGAAAATGTTTGGCGATGCCGAGGTGTAGTCCCCACCGAGCTCGTTGTGTGAAGCGTCCTGCTCGGGCTGTGTGGGGTCTGTACTGTACCATGCAGCCGAAAACTGGGAGTAATTTTGTGCTGCCCCTTTTTCTTGTCCACAACAGATGCGGTGATGCGTTGTTGGGAAGTGATGACGAGGACAACAGGTTGTGCAGGTGAACTGCATGTGTCATCGCGTCTGGCCACAGTGTGGTGGGCAGCCTCATCCCCAGAAGCAGTTTTCGCATTGTCGTCTGCAAGGTCCGGTTCATGCGTTCTGCTACCCCCTGCTGTTGGTGAGCATAGGGCAGAGACACCAGGCGTCGGATTCCTCTTTCCGCCAGATAGGTCCTGAAGCGTTGTGACTGGTATTCCAGTGCACCGTCTGACTGGAAGCTCTTGAGCTTGGTTCCTGATTCTCGTTCGGCGATGGGAAGCCATGTGGTGAAGGCCTCGAAGGCTTGATCGCGCGTTTTGAGATTGAAGTGCCAAGCGTATCTGGTTGCTGCGTCGATGAACGTGATGACGTAGTTGAAGTCGGCTTCGGTGTCTTCTCGAGGCATGTTTAAAATATCGCTGTAGACCTTTTCCATCGGAGCGTAAGTAGGTGCGCTTGGGTTGTGATGAGATGGGAAAGGTTGATGAGGAAGATCTGCTTCGGGGCACGTGAAGCACCGTGCTCGTGGTCGTCGTAGTTCTTGGCCGCTCGTCGTTAGAAGGGCGTTGCGTTCTAACACCTCTGCTTGGATTGTTTGTAGTATCGTGCTGTTTGCAGGATGTCCGAGACGTTGGTGCCAGATGTCGTCGGAAGCGCGATGACCGGGCGAGCGGTGGTAGATGTCGGCGTTGGAGAAGAACGCGACGACTGAGGCGGGACTTCGACAAACTTCTCGTGTGATGGGCATAAGCTGGTCTGCTTCGGTTGGCGGTCCTCGGGTCGCTGGTGGTGGGACTCGGCTGGGTCCTGCTGCCGATACTGCAGGTGATGGTTTGGTTGGGATACTTGCGGGTACTTGTCTTTCTTGTCTGATAACTGCTAATGCTCGTGTTCTCTCTGCTGCAGGTATGGTGTTGGAGTGCCAGAAGCCGTCACTGTCGAAGTCGGGATCAAGATCCGGCGGGTGAGTCCAGGCGGCGAACGATACGATACCGTCGCTGTCGGCAGTACCGCGGTCGGGGACGAAGTCCAACACGAAGACGCCGGACTTCAGGAGGGCACGACCGATGAAGAGGCCGCCCTTCCCGTGGTAAAGCCGAAACTCGTTGGAGTAGGAGTCGCACTCCAGGTGAATCCCCTTGGCCATTAGTTGGCTTACGCTTAGTAGGTTGTATCCCAGATTGTCGACAATGAGCACTTTGTTGAGCTGAAGTATGACGTTTGTCTCCATGAATTGTAACTGAACCACGCCTTGTCTGTTTGTCTTCAGGTTTTCGTTATTGGCGACGGTGATGACGACGTCGCGGTTGAGGCGTTTCTCCTGTTGCACGAAGCGTCCCGAGGAGCACATGTGTTGACCGCAGCAGCTGTCCAAGAACCAGGTGTTTCGCCAGGTGGGTTCGGCGTTGGCGACCGCAGCATATGTTGGATTGACTTGAAGGCCTTGTGAGCGCGGTGGCGGCAGCTCTTCTTCGTCTGGCGCGTAGGTGGGTGGTGATCCGGGTGCGCAGTTGTCGATGTGTACCATGCAATTGATAATGTTTGGTGTTTGTTGTGCAGATGTTGAAGAGCGCCTTGGGGGACTTGCTTGAGTGGAAGCGACTTGTGGGTCTGCTGGACGGTAAACGCGAGGGCGGTTGCAGTTGACCTTGGAGTGCCCGGAAGTCTGGCAGTTGTGGCAGAACGGCGGCACGAAGGTAAGTCCCCTGTTGTCGCGTTCTTGCTTGCCGCGTCGATTGTAGGTGTTGTCGTTTCTTCGTTGAGTGTAGAAGACTAACTGCTGTTGCTTTCTTGGTTGTCTTTCTTCGAACAGGTCCATCTCCTGTTGTTCAGCGTGAAGCTCAGCGCAGAGGTGCATCTCCGAAATCCTTCCGTGGGCGCGAAGAAGCGATCGTGTGGTTCTCCATTCTGGCCCGAGCCCGGCGAGGACAAGTGTTACGAAGCTTTCTTCAGTGATTGTTCCTCCGCACCGAAGCAGGCGGTCGCGGAGGGTCTGGCAGCGACTCATATACTGCATCGCCTTTTCCCCGGTCTTCATCTGTATTGTTGTCAGTTGTTGCATGAGTCTGCTTTGTGTCACGCTGTCGTTTGCTTGGTAAAGGCACTTGAGATGGTGCCATGCGAGCTCCGCGGAGTTTCCATAGCTCCTGTATGTTCTGATGCTCTGCTGTTCTTGTGGTGACAGGTTTCTCAGGAGAACCGTATACGCCAGCAGCGACTGATACGTAAAGATTTCTTGTTCCTTTCCAGTGCCGTTGCTTGGGAATGGCAGGGACCCGTTGAAGTATCCCAGAAGATGCGCGGCCTCCATCAGCAGCTCGAACTCGAAGCTCCCGGTAAAGAAGTCGTGTCCGTTGAACGGTGAGGATGTCTGCAGTTTTATCACGTGCGAGAACTGCGCCTGGAGACTTAAGATTTCGTTTGGTGTTTGTTGTGATGCAGCTGCTGTTGGTTGGGCACGGGGCGGCATAAACTCGAACGTCCCCGGTGAAGAGTGATAAGGCGCAAAGGTAGGCGCTTGATTGTGTCGCCCAAACGATGAGTTGTCGAGGCTCATCGGCGCTAATCCCATGTTTCCTCCATTGCTTTGTGTTGAATGCGCAGGTGTCCTTGTCTGCTGCTGCTGGTCGAAGTGCGACATGAAGCTGAAGAACCTTTCCATAAGGTTGGGGTCCACGCTTGAAGAGGGAGATGGAGTCACCATCTCTGGTACTCTTCCTGTTGTTTCTTGAGCAAGCCCGGTCTCTGTCTGCAGTCCTGAGGTGTGCAGACCAGAGTTGCCGTGTTGAGTTTCTTGGCCGCTGGGTGAGCCCGTGGAGACTTTCTTGCCCTTGCTGTCCATGTCTTGTAATTAATGAAGTCGTTGAATTGAGTTGAGTTGCAGGTTGTTGATGGAGCGTAGTTGCTGGGAGTTTGGTCTCTGACCAGCTCTCATACCATATTGGGCTGAGAAAAGCCCTTAGGATCTTTTGCAGAGACTAAGTCCCAGCTGTAGAGACTTTGAGACTTTGAGTAGTGCAGCGGAGGTTGAGGCAGTTGAACCCTTGTACTAGTATGTGAGAACAAGTGATTAATTGAAGAAACAAGCATACAGCAATATATAGAAGATAGGAAGGCAGTTGTAGAATACAGTTACAGGAACGGTTTATCGAGTCGCACAGCGACTCGATTGCCGCTTCGGTTACAATCCGTGATGTTGTAACGGTCAGTCGCAACCTCCAGTTGCGACCTTTCGAGTCTTTTCGCATTCTTTGTCCGCCCCCTCGTGTAACCTCCGTTGACTCGCGTGCTCCCCTGTAATCTTCCTCGAGTACAGTGTTACACTTCAGAAACGCTCAAGTCCTTTGAGATATTTCCAACAGTATCAATGAACGAACTGGTGGCATTTGTGTTTGCGCCAGATTACAAAAATCTATATACACATCCACAGAGGGCGCAAGATCGGCAACTGGTAGGAGGCTTTATTGCATGATGCACATTAGGCGATGGCCAGGGCCAAGTATAGCTGCGTGGATCGTTAGGCAGCAGAAGCAGAGGCAGAAGTCAAAGTAGATGAGGAACCATTAGCCGTGGAAGCAATCACACGGCAGCGGCCGTGAGGAAACGCTCAAACAACGGCAATGTGGAAGCGGTCACACAGCAGCGGCCATGTGGAAGGCCATGGGGGCCTCTTTCTGCTCCCTCCTCTGCCTCTCCTGGGACCGCAACAGTAGAGTGAGCGACCCCTCTCGCATAGCAGGGCGCTGCTTGGGCGACACAGCAGGCGGGCTCCATGCTCCAGGGGCCGATGGGGCGAAGGGCGAGGGGGGTGCGGTGGTGGCAGACGCAGCAGCTGCAGAAGCAGATGGGACGAGCACGGAGCGGGATGTGCTTGTGGTGGGTGTGACGGTAGCAGAGGCTGTGCGGCTGAGCTGGTCCATCATGAGTCGGATGCGGTGCAGTGCGGTGGTGATGGCTGCACCACCCACTGCAGCAGCGTCCGCTGCGAGCAGCCTGCTTGCAATCAGCTGCACTCGAGGGTCCACCAGCGACAAGGAGGCTGCAGATGGTGCCGCTGATGCTGATGATGCTGGTGCGGCGCTGTTGCTCCTCTCAGCGTGTTTGCAGCACAGCGGCAGCTGCCTCAGCAGGCTAGCCACGCCCACCTCAGAAGCACCTGCTGCACCACTCGCCACAGCCCCCCACACCACGCGCCTGCGCACCACGCCATTCCGCACACTGCCCTCCACCCCGCCACCACCCGCCGCAGCCCCATTGGCAGCACTGCCACCGATGACGATCCGAGCAGGAGCAGCAGCGGCGGCAGCGGTGGCGGCGGCGGCGGCAACGCCGTGCGGGAACCAGAGCTTGGCCATGTAGCGCGCCTTGCGCCAGGGCGCGACGGGCAACGCGACGGCGAGCAGCGACTGCTGCGCCGCTGCCGCCATGAGGCGCACGAGGGCGCGCAGGCGCGCGGACGACCCCACGAACACGCGCGGCAGCAGCGCCAGCAGCTGCTGGTAGCGCCGCGAGGGACGCGCCACGTGGAACTGCTGCTGGAACGACACGTCCACCACCGCCGCCGCGCGCGCGCAGGGGGAGGGGACGGCGCTGGCGGTAGCGCCATTGCTGCGGCTGCTGGTGCTGCTGCTGTCATTGCTGCTCTTGAAGTTTGGCGGAGCAGGGCTTACGGCTGCTGGGCTCCCACTGCTAGCAGTACTAGCACCAAAGCTCTCAAGTGAGACTTCCAGAAAATGGTGGTGGCCAGGTGGCATATCCTGGTTGGCCGTCCACATGGATTTGCAGAGGGTGACGTCATGCCCCATAGCGGCAAGGAAAGCCGCCAGAGCCACCCTCTCCGCCGACTTGGCGCACCCCGGGCAAGCCGCTGTGCCGCTGCTCTCACCATCCTCCTCACCTCCCCTTGCACCCTCCTCTGTTCTACCCAACTTCTGCGACTGCGTTTGCGACTGCGCGTGTGCGTCGCTTCCCGGCTGTGCGAGTGCGATGGCTCGCAGCACGTCATTGACGCTCTCCTCCAGCCGGCTCTCCGCTGCCGTTGCACCGGACAGGCACTGTCGCGAAGAGGAACGGGAAAAGCGCAGGGGAAGACAAAGAGTTAGCGGCAAGTAGGACAGCGGAGAGATTGGAAAAAACAAAACCACTTCAATCCATCGCGCAACCAGAATCCAGAATCCATGAAGCCACAGCCCGTCAAACTTCCATGGCCCCCGGCGCTCACCAGCAGCACGGCCTGCGTCAGCTGCTGCCACTCCGACACATCGTCCGCCGTCTCCCGTCGCTCGCCGGATGGCGAAGCGCCTCCGCCCGCCAGCACGTCGCAGTACACGCGCCCCGAGATCCCAGGCAGATCGTCGTCGCCGTCGTCGTCGTCGTCGCCGTGCGACTCTTCATCGTTGCCTGCCGCGTCGCCTGAGGGAGTCGCTTCCTCCCACTCCCAGAGAGGCTCGGAAAGCGCGTAGCTCGCCTCGACCGCGGGAGAGTCGGCGTGGGGGTTGACAGCCTCAGCAGGTGCGCGCGCGTAGAAAGCGGAAAGCGCGGGGTCGCTAGCGGCTCTTGGCAGCGCCTTGCTATCATAGCGGGTGTGTGCATAGCGAGGGAAGTCACTAACGCGATGCTCGCCGGCGGCAGGAGCAGAAACGGCGGAGGGGAATCGTGCGACGGCAGGAGCGTCGGACGACTGGCTGTGCGAGCGAAGGTGCACGTCGTGCGACAGGAACTTGTCGGCGACAGACGCTCGCAGTGGGTCGGTGGCGCTGCTGGTGCGACGGGGAGCGGCGGCAGGGGCAGCAGCAGAAGCAGCAGCTGCTGCGCGGAGGGGGTTGCGTGCCGTGGAGGAACGCACGGGCTGCAGTGTGAGGCTCGACGACGCCATGAGTCGTAGCGGTTAGCGAAAGGACGTGTGTAGTAGAGACGGTACTACTGAAGCGGGATGCTGCACCTGTAGGAGCGAACTAACGTCTCCGGTGGAAGGCGGAGGGACGAGATGACTATGATGCGCGATACTAAGGCGATTCTAGTGGAAAGGAGTTGCACCAGAAGCTCCTCCGACAAATGTCCCCCTGATGCTTCGTGGCGTCAGGAAATCGAGTCCAACCGGTGCAACGGTCCTGCTTTACTCGGATAAATCTGGAAGACCAATGTCTGATGGATGAGTAGATCTAGCTCTGCGAAGACTTATACCGCGAGCTGGGAGTGGCTCGCTGGGGTTGAGGTCAATCAGGCCTTGTCGCACCTTCTCCCTCCGTCTACCACCCTCGGTCTGTCTCCTCGTTTTCGTTCCGACGACGAATCTTTCTGCTTGTCAGGGCTCAATTCAGTGCATCGAGCCACCAAGCCGCGGGGTTGCGAGAAGAGTGAGTGACTCGCTTCAAAACGGTACAATGTTTCGGGACACTCAGGTTGGGCGAGTTATCTGGGTAGCCGGAAGGACGGTGGTTCTCAAGGGCTAGGCTCAGTCTCACCACTGATAACGTACGTACGTACGTGCGAGGAACCGGTCAATGGGTTTAGGCACGCGTCACCAGTCCAGCGAGCTGCGACAAGTGCAGCAAGAATTCGAGGGGACGCAGAGAGCCGCTAGTTCGGGGTACAGTGTCAGACAGAAATTCAGGATAAGATTCCCTCCTGGCGCGGCGATGCTCTCGAGAAAGGGTCTCCTTCGACCGTGAAAACTCTTCGTCGGGACGGAAAGATTCCAGCGTAACACGTGTAGACTGTGTCGAAGATTATGGTGTGGTGTGGCCCTAAAATTGGGCGGAAACACTGAACGAAGACACTTCAGGGATGTCGTCCTGAGAAGAACGCAGGTGAAGATCGAGAAACGGAAGAGTATCGCTTGGAACGGATGGATGGAATTCCCAAGGCTTGCTGTTTGCATGTAGGTGGTGCAATGAAAGAGCACTCTCGACAGGAGGCTTGTTTCAACTCATCAGGGGCAACTGCCTCCAGGAGTGAGCTTGCGCACCCGTTGCTTGTGCTGTGGGGGAAGAGGTAGCGCGGTAGGTGGGGGGAGGGCGAGAGGGATGAACCGCGCGGAATGCTGGGGAAGGGGGAACGGTTGCGAGAAGAAAAGGTGGCAGAGACTGGATGGAGCTAGGTGAGAGGAGGAAAGGGGGGAGGAGAACTCTGGGGGTGGTTGAATTGAAGGGGTTCGCTGCGGTTGCGGATTTCAGCCGAACCGCATGCGTGCGGCTTGGTTGGTGGAATTTTCAGCAAATTGCGTAGCCTCACCCTCCAGCCCTGCAAAGGTTCCCCCTATCCCGGGTCAAGATTTTGTCCACGTAAGGCCGTGGAGCATGGGTGGTGGAGGTGCGTGATTAAGACACGTGTGACGTCACATTTCCTAACAGAACGCCCAACGGGTCCTCTGTGGAGAAAGCTGACCAGAGCCAATGCATCTCGGCACGTCAACCAGATACAATGTACTGAGGAGGTAGGTACCCTTTGCCTCAACCCATATTACCCATTTTTAAGCGTTCCGCTATTGTTGCTTGAAATGTGTAGTACAAGAGTGCAATGGGATCAATACTTGAGGTACTTCTTTCGAGGGCCCATAAAATATACGCACTTATGAAGGCACCGCTTTTTACATCCCCCTCATGCAAGCTTTTCAATTAGTTTCCATCGCCTTTAATTGCTACCCTTATGTCTTGACTGATGGCCATCATTAAATGAAGTTGGGTTTGGCTTGGGGTTATAATTTCCCATTCAGGGTGGAATCCTCCGGAGTTGGATCTGCTCAAAGTTGGATCTAAACCCACCAAAGCCAGATTTGTGTAATGCTACAACGCGGATCATCCGACCCTCCTTTTGAGCTGGCGGCGCATGACACCCTGATTGGCCGAGGGATTCGCATGCGACATGCACAAGAGGACAGTGTGCAATTGTAACAGGCAACTACACCTGGAGCACACCGGACGCCCAGCGCAATACGTGGCCCAATCAGAGACCACCGCCCATTAGCATCCAATCACGGGCAACGGCCCACTCATTTTGGGCTGTGAACAGAGCCAACAGTGCAGCGTTATTATGACAGCAGTGACAGACATGTGGCAGAAGACGAAGGATGTCTGCCGCAACTATTATCGGCACAAACTCGCATCCGCCCACAAAATAACGGTCCGGCGAAACTCAGCGAGCCTTTCGTTGAGCTCGCAAAGGTGCGTACGCCACGCTGGGCTTGTTTGTGGTTTGAGCATCGCCGCATGCAACTGAACGCGCTGACTTGGCAACGAGAAGGAATCGCGCTTGCCCCAATGCCAAGGCCTGTTTTGAATTTCCGAAATCCAGCCTTGTAACAGATTCTTACAACAGTATCCTCCACTCTTCGCAGCGGTGATGGTTGCGCCACGACCCTTCAACACATAATGTACGACGTCTTCAATATACGCCCCAAACATTTGGAAATAGAACGCGACTCCAACCCTCTCGCCACAATTCACTGAGTATGAAAGGGAGCAAACACAACCAGAGAAACTCACCCGCCAACCAGCAGTTGTCTAATGTCACCAGAGAAAGTCGGTCGACTTTCCACGCGCCAACCCACCCCTTTCCACCATGCCTCGCACACACCGTCGATCCCAGCTGCCGCTGGAGGTCAAACGCGCCATCTGCAAGCACCGTGCCTTGAACGTCCATTTGCGCCAGAAGGATATGGCGAGATGGTGCTTCACACGGTTTGGCCTTTGCCCCGACCGCTCAACCATCGGCAAGGTGCTGCGAAGCGAGGCAAGGTGGACCTCTGAGGACGCCGTCGTTAGCGCCAAACGTATAAGGGGTGGGAGGCATCCTGATCTTGAAGCCCTGCTGCTGCGGTGGATCGACCGCGCTGGCCCTGCCGGCGTTCCTCTGACGCTAAAAACCATCCAAGCCCAAGCAATGATGTTTGCTCGGGCACTCAACAAACCTGACAACTTTCTTTGCTCGATCGGCTGGGTGCGGCGCGCTCTAAGGCGCCTCAACATCCGCTGCCTCACCCAGAAGGGCGAGGCTGCAGATCAAGATCTGGGTGCCGTCATGACGAGTAAGGTGCAGTTGCCCGCGCTGTTCCGCCATTGCGGCATCCTGCCTCGCGACGCCCTAAACTTCGATGAGACCTGCTTCTTCATCTCCGTGCTCCCGAGGAAGTCGTGGGGTCGTCGCAGCTGGGGAGGGCGCAAACAACCGAAGGAGCGCCTTACACTGGCGTTTCTCTGCAATGCGGATGGTAGCACAGTGTGGCGCCCTCTGATTATCTCGAAGACCCACCGCCCTGCAGACTTCAGGCCCGACTACGACACCACCCCGCACTGCTACTGGCGTAGCAACGAAAAGGGGTGGATGACGAGCTCGGTAAGTCGCTTTCCCCTCCTTTGTCATCCCGCGTACTTCGTTTCCCAGGCTTACCACGTTTTCCAGCAATGCACTAACGAAGCTTAGTGAAAACGTGTTGTCTTACGCATGCCCTTATCCCCCCCTACTGCCCTCCTATGGCCCTTCCCCCCCCCCCCCCCCTTCCTGGTCCCACGCAGCTTTTTACGCATTTCATGGAGCAGCTCAACGCTGCCATGTATGCTGAAGGTAGGAAAGTCTTCGTCCTCGTTGACAACGCCAGCAGCCACGCCCTTCTCTCCTCGGAAGCGACGACGGAGGACCTTTTCGGCTTCAGAACGCGCTGCCTCAGCCACCTCCGACTGGTATACCTTCCACCGAACACAACCTGTTTCACGCAGCCTCTTGACCAAGGCATGATTGCCACTGTTAAGGCGCGTTATAGGTCGACTTGGCTGGCCGCGCTCGTCCGCGACTGGGGTACTACGGATGGGGCCCGCCGCAACATGTCCCGCTTCCGTCCGACCATGCGGCAGGTGGTCGAATGGCTGTGGGCTGCGTGGATGTCGGTGGGGGCGCGCACCGTGCAGCGGTGCTGGTGGCGCACCGGCTGCGTCCCTGAAGAGTGGGCTGCATACCTAGAGCACGTGCCGCAGCCGCCGCTCCCCTGCAACGTCCTCCCCATCGACGAGACTGACCAACCTGAAGATGAGGACGAGGAGGAGGAGTCGCTGGAGGCGGAGATCAACGGGGTGGACGAGCAGATCGCCGCACTAGGCCTTGGCCCCAGCGCCATGCGGGCGGCGGACTATGTCGCCATCGATGACGCGCAGCCGATGTGCGAGCAGGCCGGCGAGGATCCCTTGGCAAAGGAGCCCCGCGTACCATCCCCACCTTCCAACTGGCACTCTCCTACCCACGGTGGTCTGCAGACATTCAGAGATGTGGGAGATCGCGAGGAGCGTCGCATGGCCCGCGCGGCATGCGAGATGCTCATCGGCTACGCGCGCGCGACGAACATCGCCCCGCGGGATTTGCGCGCTCTTTTCGACATCCGCAACCCCCTAATCGTTGAGCGCCTCGAGCGGGCTAGTCCGCTACCCGACCTTAACGCGCCCCCTCCCAGCATCTCCGCCCCTCGGCCGGTGGGGCGTAGTTTGCCTTGGTCCATCACGGGTAGCGAGCGTCGCGAGGAGCTACTTCACCAAGGGGTAGGTGCGGTTATGGACGACTTCCCTGAGACCGCCGAGTGGATGCGCGGTGCATTTGTGTAAACCTCGATGCGTTTCAATGGCTGAGCGGCACACGTAGCTATGTGGTTGGCTGACTAAATTGAGCGGCTGTTGTGTGTGCGCTGTGGTGTGTTAGCTCTCTCGTGCTCTATGCGTTTGGCTCTCTGGTCGTGCTGAAGTTCGTGACTGGGGGTTTCCCTGTGGTGCTGCCAAAAAGTGTGAGGCGGGTTCGATGGGGTTTTGCTGAAGTTTGTGTGCGATGTTTCATTGTGGGGATCGCGACTGGGGGTTTCGATCAGTGCTGGCGAAAACTGACACCTTGGCAATCTCTCCGGTAGCAATGTTTAAATGTCGAGTTCGCGACAGACTGGTTATGTGTGGCGAAACAGTTGTGTCCTCTGGTTTTGATGGTCCTGGCAAAAACTTGGGCCGTCGGTGTGGTTACTGCTGTCGAAATTTGCGTCTGCGGTTTGTTTCTGGTGTCTGTTATTAATGTTACTGGGGATTGCTCCTGTGGCAGGAAAATGTGCGTTTTGAATGCTGTTTGGTTCTGCCGAAAATTGCGAGTGCGGCGCGAGGGTTGCTGGGGCCTGGTCAAGTTTTTAAGAGCGTGTGTTGCGCTTCCACGTGGTCCGACTCCACAGTGCGCTGGGCAAGTTGCGCGCGGTGCGCTGCTGTCATTTGTGAGTCAAAGGTGGGGCTACTTCCACGAAATTCACCACAACGTGTTTTGTGGTTCGATTTTCGAGGCTCAGGGGTGGCAGTGAGCGCCAGTTGCGCGTGGTGTGTGTGTCAGTTCTTGCGATGCTGACTGGGCAGCTGTTTCACCCCTAACCCTGAGTTCGTCATTTGCCACCCTGTTAATGATCTGTCTGACGAGTTCTCGACCTGGAGCTGGTTTCATCACATCATGGTAGAAAACGCCGAAACTTTACACAGGGTAACCATGTGAACAATGGCTTGCCAAATTAAGCCACTCAAACCTACCCCGCTAAACTACAAGATGGTAACCTTCCTGCCCGTGCGAAAGGCCCACATGCCTGTGACGATGCTGTGCGAAACTCCTGCGCGTTTTTGTCCACCGGCACCCTGAAAAGTTGTGCTCCTCTGTCGAGCTCAAGGTGTAGCTGATGAAACCCTAGCAACGTGCCAATGCGCACCGCTAGGAAACCTTACGACGAGCGAATGTGACAATTGTCGGGCAGTCAAGACTTGAACTCGGCTTCCACACAATCACCCCCGAAAAAAGGCGCATGATGGACCATGACGCATCCAGCAGCATGGCACACGTCGTTGCGACACGACACAGAGTGCTTGAA